AAAAAAAAAAAAAAAAAACATAGAATAGTAAAAAATGAACCAGAGGAAACATTTTTGAATCTAAGACTTGTTTTCGATAATATTATTATGAACTTCTAATTTCATTATTTATGTAGTTTATGCAATCTTCTTATATACATAAAAACACAGGATCTGAAGTAAGACACTAAAAGATATAAACTACAAGCACTAGTTTGGACAGTGGGGAAAGTGAAAGAGGAAAGAGAAGGAAAGGAGAAAAAAAAAAAAGGCAAGTTACTTTATACTATTAAATTAGCCATACAACCCAAAAAAATGAGACTCATGATACCTTAATTGCCATTTTAATCTTTAATTGAGAAAATCTTGTGTTTAGATGAAGAATTTTAAATGAGGGATTTTAATGAAAAAAGGAATTTCATGTTCCCTTTCCAAATGATCTTTCATGTATCATGTCAAAAATGTTTTGGTTTTTTTAAAAAAAGCTTGCCATTTTAAAATACCACTTAGAAAGAGGTTTTTTGAACTTCTTCAAATCCTCATTTTTCTCTAACTAAACTATAATAAAATTCCATCCTTCACATTTTCTTCTTATGAAATCCCACTTTAAAATCCTCCGTCCAAACCCAACCTGAAAGGTCAACCCATAATTCTACAAAAGGGAGCATTGATGGACATTTCTTGCAATGATATTGTAACTATGTCCCTTGACATGATTAAGTAACTTCAAAAGGAGTTTCAATCAGTTTGGAGAGGAACATACTGTGAAATAAGCAATGTAGCTCACAGCAACTGTCAGTGCAATCTCAATCACTGTGTCATTGAAAATAAACCGAAGCCAAAAAACAGAAGCAATTCCAAAAGCAATGCCGATTCCCACACTGTACCAAGAAAGGGATCTTAAAACCAGATCAAAACATGTCAAAATTTTGCCTAAGGAAAATGATTGATACATACGCTCCAAGCGTGACTTTTGCCAGAAACTCAAGAACAGTGGCCCAAGTAAAGCTCTGTCCAAGAACCATTTTATAGAATAGCTGGTAAACCACAATTGCAGTCCTGAACATATAGACGAAGTGCATTCAATGAAGATCAATTTACAGGCAAGATGCATGCTACCTCACCAGACATCTCCAGAGTGTTTATTACAATGTAAAATCAACAGATAGATGAAAACATAAATACGTACCCATCATTCATCAAAGATTCTCCTTCAATTATAGTGGTTAATTTTTTACTTGCACCAAGCTCTTTGAACAAGGCAACCACAGCAACAGGATCAGTTGCACTGAGAAGCCCCCCCAGCAATAAGGATATTTTCCAACTCCAGTCATATGGAAAAGTGAGCTGCAACAAGATGAGAGAACTGCAACCATGGAAAAAGAAAGACAATTGCATAGAAGATGGATATTGTGGAAGCAAAATACCTTCAAAGCTAATCCAAGACAGAAAGTTGAAATAAGAACTCCCGGACCGGCGAGTAGAATCATTTGTGCCATACACCTCTGTTCAAGCATAAAAGACAAATTGATCCATTCAACACCTCAGAACATTTTTACACATCATTAAAAAACTTACACAATTTCTGCATAACCCTGTTGATTTAAAAAATAAAAAGTCGAAAAACCTTTTGCTCTGTTCAGGACAAGAAAAATAAGGAACATCTTTGGTTTTGTAACTTGAGGAATAAAAAGAAAGGACCTATATTGGCCCAAAGAACAAAAATGCCCCAGGGATTCAAACAATGAGTAAATAACAACTAGAATAGCAAACTACATGGGATCTGTATTTTTAGAAAGCTAGGTTGTTCACATTCCAAACGCTTGTAAATTTTGTAAATTTGACATCCTCTCATGGGCAAATAAAGTGTTTCTTTGATTGCACACCAGACCCCATAAGGGATACAAGAAAGAAGATTCTAATTAAAGAACTCAAACTGGTATTTTGAAGTGAGATTTTGACCCCCTTAAAGCTTTAAGACATAGTGGCTAAAGCAAACCTTTATCTGGTGAACTTCCATCGAGAATGCACTCTCGAAAAGTAGAGCAGGAAGAAAAACAGCCAATAGAAGGTCAGCATCAATTTCTGCCCCTGCAAATTATCATAATACACGTTTGTTGTGGTGACTAATTCTAAGTAAGAGTTGCCTTTCTGATAAATTCTATCTCAAAGAGTTCAATTTGTCATCCTCTAGTTTCTAATACTAACATAATCTGGAGAAAGGGTAAAGCAAGATGGAACTTACAAAGACGGATGCCATCTCCAAGCTTCCCTAATTTATGATTTGTGCCATATTCTGTCCATTAAGGAATCAACACATAAGTGTATTGGATTTAACTTGGATTTATTTAAAATTTAAAATTGTATAATCAATATTTAATTATTAATAATATGGAAAAGTAATTAGAATTCCTAAATTCAAAAACTAGGAAGTTGAATCTCTAGTAGCATACTAATCTAATTGAGAATTTCAATCTTCAGTACCATACCAATCTAATCTGCATCAACAGGGACAGAGCCAGGGGGTGCAAGGGGGACGCTCGCCCCTCCGTGGACTTCTGAATAAAATTAAATAAGTTCCTTATTTAAAAAAAAAATTTAAGAAACTCTTCTTGAAAAAAATAAAAGTGTGCTAACTTTTTTTTTTTTTTTTGTAGTCTTATAATAAATTACTAATTAATTAGTAAATAAAATAAATTTATAAAAATATTTTTATTTATTTAATATGTTTGTCTGCTATCATAATATATATTTAGTTCATAATTATTTATATTAAATAATAAAATATAATTAACTTAAAATTAATATTATTTATTTTAATATATTAATTTTATTTATTATATTACATTAAATAATATTTTATAATAAAAATTATGTTTCGAACTAAAATTTAAATGGCTTAATTTAATTTTTAATCTATTAACTATCACCTTGATTTCATTTTAGTCTAGAAACTATGTTTTATTTCTAAGTGGTCTATTAACTTTCAGATTCATTTCAATTTCGTCTA